TCTATTCACAGTTGCTTTTATAGATACAATTAGCCTTCGAATGGTAAGGAGCGAGGAGAGACGGCTGTATTCGAAGGCAAATATACAATAAAACAGTAATGCGTTTATACAGTCATGACTCAATCGAATATTCAATCCGAGGTCAGTGACCAAAGGCCGTTGATATGCAATAGAAAATAATGAAACAGCCGCTTAATTTACCACCGGAGCAGTTCAAGCTTATTGAAGCTTTCGGATAACAAGCGACGAAGGGCATTCTTGGAAATGTATCAAAAATATAAAAATATTCGCTCGAAAAGGGCATGTTACTGCTGTAGAAGAGTACAATGCATTTTTAACGCATTTGCTTTAAAATGCATTGCAGCCTTTCTCAAATACAGTGAAACCTGTATTAAGCGGACACCGTATTAAGAGGACACCCTCTATTAAGCGGACAGTAGCCGAAGTCCCAAAATTTATTTCCCTTATTTACTTTAAATGAAACCTTTATTAAGTGGACACCTCTATTAAGCGGACGCGAACACCTAAAAAGTACCTGAAATAGTCATTTCTATTGTTGCCAACCTGTATTAAACGGACACTTGTAATCAAATTTCACTACCCAACACGCCATACACCGGAAATGCGAAAGATTACCTCGAATTACCACCCACAACTTTTTCCATTTGTGCATTAAAAAGCGTGACTTGACGAACTTATTTGATTAGTTTCACAGTACAGTATTGTTTTCTATTTCGTTTTGTTTGTATAGAGCTTGTTTCACTTATCTGATTTCTTCAAATTTGAGTTGCAATCTATGTTTATGGTACTATGACCAATTGGTCCACTTTGATAAAGAAATTAATGCAAACGTATATCGTCAAAGTCTCTGGGAGTATTCTTAACATTTCCACTGTTCATTTGAATGGCATTTGACACCTCATATGACGTTATCTATCGAAACCTGTATTAGGAGGACACCCTGTATTAAGCGGACAGTACAGCATTCCCCGAGGGTGTCCGCTTCATACAGTTTTCACTGTACGCATTTTTAACCGTTTTTATGAATGTGTGCAACTTCGTCAAATGATGAAGAGTGGTCGACAGTTTGGAAATGTTACCATATATTATATGTATATTTTTGCGTGATGATAGAAATGATAGCGAGCGTCAAAGCGCGACGCGTGGTCACTCTAACATGTCCTTTTTATAATGCGCTGAAAATGGTCAGGTCTCCTTTGCATCCGTACGAACATTTTCGTAAGACTCCTGATCTTTCGTGACATTGCGTGGGAAGACTCAAAAGACCTGAGAGAAACCTCAGAAATTTATACCTTGACCGCGCTTTGAAGTCGACGCCGAAGTATACTCTATTGTTACTTACTCACTTTCGGAAAACTAAGTATGCTGATTGGCGCCGAAGTATATTCTAAAGTTACTTACTTACTTACTTTCCGAAAACTAACCCGACGGCAATAGTGACTTCTGGCGCATACACAGTAGTCACAAAAACCAGGCAATGTAGTGAAACCTGAATAAACTTAATTTACATTGATTTCTAGACTTAGCTAAAACTTACCGAAAACTTGCCCTGAACTAAGCTGAGATCAGGCTCTACTTTCATTTTCCTGGGTAAATATATAGATTCCCTCCGGCAAGACGAATCAAAAAGTCTCACATTTAGGTGACCGTACTTGTGTACCTGTATCACGTGTGCTTGCGAATCGATTATAATGATTGTTGTATTCAATGCGTGCGCATTCACGTGATTACTCGACATCCGACGGACCTTAACCTCAACACCAGGGCCTTCGCGGCCACATACCATGCATATTAGTTGGTACAGGACTGGCATCCCAAGAATGTCAAGAATGTGGACAGATTCAGGAAAAACCTCGCCGTACAGTTCATAGAGTGCCGCTGACCAAGATTAGTCTGTGCGCTCCTCTTGTCGCCCGCAATAAAATTGGGTCAGACTTATACTTAGATTGTTCATTTACGTTTAAATTCCCGGCAGTGCCCGGCATTTCCTGAGATATAGGGATGGATTTTTTCGTAATGCCTAGTAACTTCAGGCCGCCACCAAAAACTCCAAAATGTTTCCTCATAGCCGGGTGATTTAAGACGTTTTTCCTTAACATTATTTGAAAAAAGCTGGCAAGTTTCCGCGCGGTATTATAAATCCATCATCTTTATCCTCTTCCATCGACCCTGAGAGGTCTGAAAAAGTTATTATGTCAGTATTGAAGAGCTATTTGGCCCAGTTTGGAAGTTTTAAACCCCACATTTTGTATTTTCATGGAAGCTTTGTCGAGAAATTCGAGGTCATCGAGGATAAGTGCACGATTAGCCATATTCGTTGTTGTCAGTGTTTCACAAACGGATGTGGCTTTGAATGTGGTCATCTGGCTTTCATTTTTGTCTATAAAGTTTTTCCAGTCAACGATCTTGCTTTTGCCAGATAATTTTTAAGCGGTAAATCTATAAAGAAAGTTGAAATTCAAAAGTGGTTTCCTCGATACAGCCGTGGACGAACCGGCGAGTGAAGCTGATCTGCGACCTCCCGGGGGGTACTTTAGGACTTTTTGGGTGGGGATGTGCCGCTGGGACCCTGGAACCCTTAGCCTATACCAGAGCTAGTTCTAGTCTAGACTAAAATCTTCAGCCAATTGATCAGTTTAAATGGGAAATGATACCCTCTTCTAGATCCAAACTCTCTGATTTATATACCCTATCCCAGAGTAAACTGCTTGGAAACCATACCCTTCACAGCGGCACGTACCAATATAGCCCATATATGGCAGTACCCCCCTCCCCCTCGAGTCTGCGACATGACTTTCGATTGTCTGCAACAGTAATGTACTCTCTCGTGTGACTGGAATCAGAGGGAGAAAACCCAGCAATATGTTCTTCTACAGGACGTCGTGTAAGGCTTGAGGAAAGAATCCATCGAACATGAAAGGTTTTAATAGGAATGCGAAGTACACAACAGGCCGCGTGCGTCATCACCGATGTCGTACTTTTGAAATGTTCCCTGTATGATCGTATATGTTTAAGAATTGATGTTTTTAAAATAAATTGTTGCCTGAACATTCTCTTTATAATCTGGTTTCTTTATGTGTACTACTCGAAAACATTCGTTTTGCAGAACACTGACCCGACGCAACGTGAAGGAATTTGGAAGTATCCCTCACTCGAAGATAAAATTCGTATCCCCGCGCGGCCATGTAATATACTATATATACTTATCTGCTGCAACATATAACCGAGGAATAGCAAAGAGTAAATATGAATTATAGCGAAATATAAAATCGAACCAAGCAGTTCGGAAGTACTCCGCGTCGGGCAATGAATTTGAATTATGTAAAGTTTTTTAGCGCGAGTCTAAGTCGCTTCCGATTGGTTTTTAAAAAAAAATCAACTACTGTCAGAACTCACACATGCACATTATCGTAACATAACACAGGCCGTTTAACGATCATTTTACTCCACTTAAGACACTCTACAAGGCATTCCAAAGCGGTTGTAGGGGCGGAATGGCAAAGGAGTACACCTGAAGCAAAGAAGCCGGGTTGATCTGACAGACAACCGAATCGACCAAGTTATTGTCGCCTCATTGTACGAAATTAAACAGGTTAAAAGCAAACGAAATTATACCGGAAATAGCCGGATAAGGAGAAGGAAAAAGAAATGAGCACTTAATTAAGACATTAGGTCGATAGAACCCATACTTATCAACATGGTGAACAAAAGACCTGAATTTGCCATGTGGTTTGGAGGCACTTGGCAAGCATACCGTATTTATTCGATTAACCGCCCTGGGCGCTTATTAAATTTTTGGACCTTGAGAGTGGGCGCTTATTCGAGGTGGGCGCTTATTCCAGGCTGGGCGCTTATTAAATTTTCATCACTTTCAGCAAGTGTAGTATGTTTATTTTGCAACAAAACAATAAATGGTAATAACAAAAACGCGAAGATGTAACAAAGCAAGGTTTCTGTAAAATACTCTGAACAAAACTCCGTCTTCGGGGAAGTCTCTAATTAGTACTTATTAATTTTTTTTGCCCGGCTGTGAGGGGGAAGAGGAGTGGGTTTTGGTTGCGGTCGCTTACTTGAGTTTGAGTGGAAAGGGGAGGGGGTGGGCGCTTATTCGAGGCTGGGCTCTTATTAACTTTTCCGGCCTCTAGCGGATGGGCGCTTATTCGAGGTGGGCGCTAATTCGAGGTTGGGCGCTTATTCGAATAAATACGGTATGCACCATATGAGACGTGGAATTTGATTGGTTTAATCTTATATGACGTCGTAAGCGGTAAAGGGTCTTTGATGTCCTTAGTTTGAGGTAAGCGATGAAAAGCGCAATGAAATAGAACAACACACGGATGCATTGTTCATAGACACGTCAAGACAACAAACAACATGGTGTCAGTGTGAGTAACAGCGGCCAGCAGCGGCACATTTCTCAGAGACTTGAACTTAGATCTCATAAATACACTGAAAACACTTTTTAGGTTATTCAGAGTACTTATAGATCTGTAGAAATACATTCTAAGCGGAGCTATAAAATTTGTATCTGTTCAGTCATCCAAGATTAGCTTGAGTCTTTTCGAAATTACCGGGGCTTCAGTATTATTTTTCCGAGAATTTTAGATGCAATTTAACGTCTTGCGAAAGTGAGAATTTTTCTGATTCCTCTCTCCGTCACATTTTTAAATCCGAATAGTTTCTTTTTTCTTTTTTTCTAGAAAAATAACCTAACCTGGGGAATAAAATGTAAAAATTAAACTTCAGAAAATCGTTGGGAATTTATTAGATAAGCCTCGACAATTGTTCTTGAATGGATCGGCCATCTAGAGAGTTTTAGCTGTCCTCAAGGAATAGAAGATTTTAGGCAATATTTGCTTCTCCGAACAGATATTTTACAGGACACGGTTGGGTGCCCATATCGAGTCAAGTGGTGGAAGAGTTTCCCGAGAGTTTGTCGAATACTCCCGAGGATTCCCGAAGGCACACCATGCGAGGTTACTAAGCTCAAATACTTGATGTTTTCAGCTTGATTTTGTTTTGTGAGAAAAACAATTTATCGGATTTTTGACCTTTTTAGAGAACGGCAGAGATATTTTAGGGCAGAGGAACCGTTAATGGTAGGTTAATTTGATATTATACCATCGTGGTGTCTTATATTTGTAATCAAAGAAAATTCAGCAAGAAATTTTGTCGTGAAATCGATGTTATATGCTCTGTGCTTAAACCAGGACGCAGATCTAGAGTATTGTGATTCGCATTGTTTTGATTCGTTTTGATGTCTTGTTTCTTTTGATTCTGTGCAAAGGTAGACTTGAAGACTTAAAGATTAGTCGCCAATACTGTCTCCGAGTACATCTTTGTTTAATACTCATTTGTTTTTACCTTGTCGTGGTGTCGCGATCGGTTTGTTTCAGCCCAGGTTTCAGCCGGCTTACCAAATACATTTGTACAGTCCAGAAGCTTAATTCAAAAGTTGTATTTTCTACGCTAATAGACTTCAGTCATGAATTTGAGGATTGCATTTTATATGAATAGTGTTCTTTTGGAAGTAACAGACTGGTATTTAAAATTCCAATTCCCAAATGATGATTTTATTTTTTATAGGTAACATCGCGTGATCGCTCAACAGTATACGAAGAGTATTCTTCCCCGTGTTTTTTGTTCATTGTGGTGCACAACAGATCGTCATGTATAAATCCATGAGAAGCGAACACAGTTCACCTCTGTGGAGCAACATATCTAGTCGAAAAAGTCTCAAGAGATTTATCAGCTTCACAGTCTTCCTAGAAGATGCTTGATCATGTTACTATCTTTCTCTGTCCATAAGGATCTACTTGCTGCAACATTTTACAGAGCACTTAATTTAGTTTATACTTAAAATGGGGGCAAACGCATCTTCTGCAGAGAACTCACCTGATTCAACATTAGTAAGAGTACCAAGATATACTCTAGAAGAAAAGAGAAAGAAACAATCGAAGCTAAACACTCTTAAAAAGAAGCTGAGCAGGAACAAAGGGGCTTTTAAAATCCACGATCATGGAAAAATGTTGAGAGATTTAACACAGACATGGACAACGCAGGAGATAAATGCTTTAGTAGAGGAATATGAAGCTATGATGAACGTCAAAGAACTAACAAATCAGACCAGCCTTGTGCGGCAGTCTGCACCAAGTCTCAAGAAAGATCTCTTGAGGTTGTACGAAGAGGGTATTTGTGCTGATGCTACTTTAGTTTTTGAGAACACTAGTTTCCATGTGCACAGAGCTGTGCTGTCTTCGCGATGCCCTTATTTCAAGGAACTGTTTTCACAGCACCCGGAAGAAAATCCTGTGATTCATATGGAGTTTAAAACAGAGGGAATGACAAAGGACATTTTTTCATCACTACTTTCTTATCTGTATACTGGAGATTTCACACCAAAAAAATCAGGACTGGAGTACATAGATGTCTTGATAAATCTTGGAGAGGAATTTGGAACACCCAATGTTTTGGAGCAGGACTTCAAACAGCTTTTACACAGCTGTGAATTCGCTGATGTGGCACTTGTTTTTCCAGCACAAGGCCCTTCGGAAACCTTTCTATCAAATGATGGTAACTCAATCTCTGATCAAACCTATGAAATTCTGTGTCACAAAGCTATCCTTTGTTCAAGATCGCCTTATTTCAGGTCTTTGTTTCTTAAGGATAAGCTAAATTTCTCTGAACATAAAGCAACAAATTCAAGTGTACTCAGACTAGTCCTTGATGAATCAGTTATGACACGACAATACGCACGAATAGTTTTACAGTGCGTGTACACAGACTCTGTGGATTTGTCTGCTGTTGTAAAGTGGAGCTCTGAGGATAGAAGATATCATGCCCCTGGAACTCATAAATTGTTGACGGCAGCAGAAATTGCTATGGAAGTGTTTGAAGTAGCAAGTTTTATTGATTTACCTGTGCTCATACAGGGTAAGGGAACAAACCTTATTTAAATGCCCTTACATTTGGTTAGGATTTAATTAAGCCTTACTCCTTCTCTTGGTACAGTGTACTTGGTGATTCTTTAGTGAACATGTAGCCATTAATAAGGCTGTTTATGCAGGATAAGATAAGCTGCGTATAAATGCCACTAAATTGATGTTCACAGCTTATTCAACCCATGGCTAACTAAAGCCGCAGGTTGTCCTGACCAAGGGGTTTTGGGCTGTGCTTATCCAATCCGTGGCCTACCTTTTACATAAATAGACTAAAACATTGTCTGCAGCTTGTTGAAGCCATGAACCACTGCTCCGCATGTGCTGTTTTGTTATTGTTGCCCAGACCTCCTTTTGCATTAGCTCTCAATCCATTTGTTGATTAAAAAAAGGTGAGCATGTGTGACTTTAGATAGCAGTTTATTAGCTGAAAAATTGCTTTGAAATCCTCTGGGTTGATTGCTTGCAAACCTTTTGTCGAGGTTCATGACTTCCTTTGATAAATTATTGTTTTGGAGCCTAACACCAATCTTGACTTAAATTTTTATTTAAAGAAAATAAATGTAGACAATTAGGCATTTTTTTTTACAAGGCCAATCGTTTTGCTTTTATGCTCACTTAAAACATACATGTAAAGATGTATAAATTGCCCCAAAACTAGGGACTAAAACTAATTAACAATTAATTAGTCATCTTGGACTTGTTGACCTCAAACAAAGCCGCAAACCATTTGTATTAGCATTTCACATCTTATGTAAACCTTACTCATATAAATTGTTCCTTACATGTCTTATTAAGTGGCGGCCAGGGTAAGCTGCGGCTTATTTTCTCTTGTATAACTGGCCCAATTCTTTTCCTAAGGGTGTGAAGATATCATTCTTGAGGAACTCTCCCCGTCTACTCTTCTTCCCACCTTGGAATGGAGCTCCCTCCCGCATGGATCAGACTGGGTCTACAGACAAGCGATGCAGTTTCTACAAGATGAATTTGTGAACATTGCGCAGTCAGATGCATTCTCCTTGATGCCTAAGAAATACTTGGTGGAAGCATTAAAATCTGATTTTCTACAGGTATCATTGAACTTTTTTATCTACAGAGATTTAACTGGCTTTGTCACTCAAAAGTAAGGAACCAGACATTATCTCATTTCTGAAGTCTATATTGAATTTTTAAGCATCACATAAATGAGAATGCAATTTTTATCTCAGGAGAATTCAATGCAGACAGACAGAGAGCAAATTCGTTTAACACTTCGTCTTCCGGGGTCGCCGAAATCGGAGCTTCAGGAACGGTGACCAAAGAAATTTCGCAAAAAATTGTGTTACTTCCGATTGCTCCCAAATTTGGCACACAGGAAGTTAATAGATTTAGCCAATCACCTGCCTAGTTCCAGCCCCTGTCGACTTTTGACCGTCACACACCGGGTTTTCGAAAATTTTGAATTTTATGGCGAGTCGCTGGGGAATCTTTGTGAGCGGTTTTGCGAATAATGAAAGCTTGTATAGACGAATGTCAACCAAATACAACTCAAACAAACTATTCTGAAGGATTTTGGAGGATAACAAGCAAAATAAACGCGAAAATCGAGGTTAGGAAACAATTAGAATCTGTGCATGCAAATCGCCGATCGCCCACTCTGTGCCACATGTTCTTGAAACGGGCGACGATTTCCTTCCCGTTTTGCCTTCGCTTCGCTTTTAAGCTGTCAAATTCTTGCTTATTTTGATGAATTCTATCAGCAAATTCATGTCTGCTTGTCCCTAACTCGATATTTTTTGGGAATCGAGGAAACAAAGCGTCTCAGTGAAGTAAACATGGGGTCACGAGGTGACGCCAAAGGATTATGCTAATTATGATAATCCAATTAGCATAATCATGACAGCGTGCAGAAAAAAATTTGTAGAAAATTTCTAGTCGCTCCATATTTTAGAACGATTTTCGGGTTTTTTTACTTACATATTGATGAAAAATATTTCTTGCTACCACATCACCCAAAATAAAGAAGTTTCCTAGCTAAATGACATTCTTTAAAATTTTAAAAAAATTTTATGCAAAATATGCTTTTTTAATTTTTTTATGGCGGAATATTATGGGTTTCCTATGACCGAAATATTTTTTTTTCGAAAGGGTATTCTTTTCCCTTTCCAATGAGGTATAGCTTGATATTGAACTGTAAATAACACCAGAGATATGATTTTTTAAAGTTACATGGCAAAATACATTGAAATAATTGGCGGCAGACAAGGAGTTAATATCTGTAAGTTGTGATGGTACATGTAGCAACATGTTCAGGTACTTTTGAGTACTGTATTGACTTGAAAGAGTGCTACAGTGATTTTAAAATCAATGTTTTGACTTGTCAGTGCAGCACTTAAGTGGGTGCAGAGCAGAGCATATTTAAAGCTTCTTAAATTGTGTTTTTACAGTATTGCACTGTAGGTAGTCTTTGTCCTAAATAACATTAACAGCATGAGAATATATACATTGTGATAAGGTTATGAAAGTTAGTTTTGAGTCCTAATTCTCATTCCTTTCGAAGTTTGACTGCTGTAAATGCTTGTTTTCTTGCCCCTTATGACACAGTGGTTTGTTACAAATAGTTATGGTGAGTCCTGGGGCTCATCTTGTGAAAAATCATGAGTCCCAGTGCAGAACCATTGAGTCCCAGTTCAAAAATCATTTAGTCCCTGGGTCTTCATGTAACCACACAGTTAATCTGAAGACAGACTCCAGAACTCTGTATTACAGTTTACTGAAATGAAAATATACTTCTTCTATTGTAAAGCACAACAAAGACTAAAAGAAATAATCACACAAACAGGATATTCTACAAGAAATATCTTCAGATTATTTTCTGTCTTTGGAGATTTTTTTGCATCAGGGATGCAGGATGCCGAGGTAACAAAATCACTGATGACATGAATACACGTATATTGATTTTTTTCTAATCATTACTGGTATGGGAATACAGTATGCATGGATCTTTGCTAATATCAGTTACTCCTTTTTCTCAGGCCTGTGAACATGATGTTTTGTTATCCGTTGTCAAATGGGGTGAAGCTCAGGTTCTTCAGAATATGGCTGATCAAGGTACCAAATCTTTTAACTAAACTCGTTGTTCTTTCTTATAAAATCATCCCTCAAATGGGTAATGCTACCAGTGGCAAATCTAGGGGAGGGACCCTAGCTACGACGTTATTCATAGGTCAAACCAAGGCCCACAGGGTGGTGACAAAGTTATCATTGTCTAGTTTGAGCCCACTTTTTCTTTCTCCATCTGAATGAGTGGGCCTTTTCACTTACAGTGTATGTCAGGGTCAAGATCTACCACTAGTCATGGGTACAAGTATGTAGTTTTGTTTTAAAACCAAAGACAAAACAACCCTGCAGATGATAGACTCTTATTCCTTTTTTTGTCTGAAGATCCATTCCTGGAAAGCAAGAAAACCTCCAAGAGACGAGAAATTGACAGCAAGCAACTTAAGAAAGTGTTATCAGGTGTTATTGAGTATGTAAGGATTGGGCATGTCCTACCACCACATAGTGAACTGCTAGAAAGTGTTTTCCGCCGAGGTCTGGTTGATCGAGGGATGCCACTTGACATTGGTGAAGGAAGTTTCTATCCCAATTTACCATGGATGAGGAGACGAGAAGAAAAGGATTTTGTCCGACCAAGAATTTTTTTACCATACTTTGAGGAAGCGAAGGTGTGCTACAGTGGCAATACATGTATTATTATCTCAATACAGTGGAACCCCAATATAATGAAGGGCCAAGGGACTGCCAAAAGTTGTTCACTATAATGAGGTTTAGGCAGGGTGGGAAAAGGAAGGAGAGCATGCAACTACGTCTCCGGAATTTGAATATCTGCATCGAAAAAGTTGATGCAAATGCTGATTGGTGGAGATGACATTAGTGATGATGTCATTACCCTTGGCACGTGTTTTTCGATGATTGTTTACATTCGCACTCGTTTCTGCTTTTTCACTGATTGGTAGAAATCTGACAGCTCAGTTGACTTGGAGCCACAGGGGAATTGGAGGTGGAATTAAAATTCCTGAGACATAGTTGCAAGCTCTCCTTCCTTTTCCTGCCCTGCTGCCAGAGCACCCCAGAGAGCTTTCTTGCAGGCTAGGGTGAGCAATGTAAGCAGAGTGGTTAATGGTTGACTTTAGATATCTTTGAGCAATCATAACTTCACCCCGTGTCAGGTAATCCAAGACCGTCTTGGATTCAGAATTCCATGTTGTGGATTCTTGATTCTAGGTACTGGATTCTGGATTCCTTATCAGTTAGACTTGGATCTGAATTCCAATCGGAGGTGGGATTCCAGATTCTGTGAGCTGACTTATGGATTTCAAAGCCCAGGATTCCAGATTCCTGAAGCAAAAATCTTCCGGTTTCTGGATTCCAGAAGCAAAAATTTCCCAGATTCTGGAATCCAGGCTCTGGTTGTTCAGACATTGGATAGTGCTATCCACCGGATAGATCTCTATCCAGTGGATAAGTGTTTGGGAAACCAATCGCGTTATCCACCGAATAGAGATTTATCCTGTGGATAGCATTATCCACCTTTCAGACAACACGGCCTTGATGTCTTACATGGGGCGAACATCAAGCTCATGCCCATTAACCCTTTAAGCTCCAATATCCACAAACAAATTCTCCAGACTGATCCCCACACAGTCCTTGAAAGTTTGGTTGAGAGAATTTGTTAAAAGATCAAAGCATTTCCACTTACAAGTAGGTGATCATTTTAGCAATTCCAGTAACCTTTCACCTTGATTATGTATAAATATGGTTGGGAGAAAATTGATGATGGTCACTCGGATCAATTTCGGTTTCTGGCAAACTGCGCACCTACCCATTCGCTAAGCTAACATTAACACTTCTCACTTTGGGCAAAGTGATGGCATAGGGGAGGGGTAGGTGAGCAGTTTTCCAGAAACCTTAATTGATCCGGTCGCTCTTGGCTCTTCAAGGGTTAAATTGATGAATTAGGTCTAGCCTGCGAGCAAGCTCTTTGGGGCGCTCTAGCGGCGGGGCGGGAAAAGGAAGGAAAGCTTGCAACTTGCAACGTCTCTGGAATTTGAATTCTGCCTCCAATTCCCCTGTGACTCCCCGTCAACTGAGCTGTCAGATTTCCGCCAATCAGCGCAAAGCGGAAACGAACGCGAATGTAAAGAAAACATTGAAAAACACATGAAAGCACGCGCCAAGGGTAATGACGTCATCACTTACGTCATATCCGCCAATCAGCATTTTGCATCGGCTTTTTTGATGCAGATATTCAAATTCCAGACGCGTAGTTGGCAAGCTCTCCTTCCTTTTCCCGCCCGGCCACCAGAGTGCCCCGGAGAGCTTGCTGGCAAGCTAAATTGTGTCAAAATTCAGTTGTACATGTATTATAGTATCCCTTCCTGTCTCATTCAGATAATTCTTCAAGACCACAAGCATGCTGAAGTAGAGCTGATGAGACACCGCATGTCACGTGTCAGCCACAACATGCCCGACACACTGTACATGATTGAGCCACAGAAACGAACTTATACAGCACCAGCCCGCATCCTTTCAGCCTCTGCCTCGGGAAGAAGAGATCGAGACGAACAGCCTTCAACACCGCAGACTTGCAGGAATGAAGAGAATGAATTAGAGAGATATGTGAGAAATAGGCATACAAGTGATATGTCATCAGGTAGAGTTTGATTGGAAGGATCTTTGCTTGTAACCTCCCACGCAGACTTCTTTTATTGCACAGTAGGCTACTTAACTGGAGTCATTGGAGTAATCCTTGAAGGGTTTACGGTCGTTTCAATACAAAGTCGTTTCGATACAAGTCGATTCGATACAAACTGAAGTCGTTTCGATCCATCAACAAAGTCGATTCGATACACGTAGAAAGTCGATTCGATTCAACCAACTAAAATACGCTCTAGGCTAGGTAATTTATTCTCAAACTTTCTGACTAATTTGTGAAACCAGAGGCCCTAAGAAACTCGTGTTTCAGTGACTGGAGGCCTTTTTTCACCTACTTGACCCATAAATGAGTCGTCAGTGATTCGTTTGTTTGTCTTTTGAGTTTCAAGATTGTTGCATTGCATTGTTTTGTAACCTTGCATAATGATAAAGTAAGCGTACTTACAATACCTTCCATGCGACGGTCCTCATTGTATCATATTGCATAGTTGTCTACAGACTTTGTTTTCCATGTTTCTTTTCTTGTTAAGGTGACAGAGATTCGACTGGTCCTGATAAAATGGCCGAACGTGAATTTGCTCTCCCGGATGTTGCAATGGAGCTACCGTCTTATGTCCCGGATGATGACTGGGCCTCAGCAGCCGGACCTTCCAGGTTGCATCCTTTTGGAGCGGAGGTGAAAAATAGAAACTAGGCCATCGTACTTCTTCATCACATTTCTGCTAATAAACATTCTGCGCTTAAAATAGTTTTTCGGGACCGAAAATCCTCGGGAGTTTTCAGAATCACACGCCGGGAGTGACCTGCGGAAGTGACCCGCGGGACTAGACCGTACCAGGGACGGGTTGAGAGACCCTGGTAACGAGGTTGGAGAGTCGTTGGAAAGTGCACGCATTTGTTGATGAATTGTAGAACAAATAACCCGCTTCCCGCTTTACTTTTTATCGTTTCTATCTCATTAAAATAAAATTCAACTCAGATATGAGATGATAGAGAGATTTAGGGTCACCTTCACGGTAAACGGCAGATCCAAGTTGAGCATTTCTTAAAGCATGAAATAAGCGGAACAAAACTGTACAAAATAGTTCTTATTTATGAAACAGGCTTCAAAATACTACTTTTTATGTAGACATAGCCTGCCAGCAAGATGTCCATTTTAGGGAAGTCTTATTGCAGTGTACTCGCTCTAGTTTTTCAAATGGTGGATAGCGCCATCCGTCGTATCCCGTATTTATTCGAATAAGCGGCCAACCTCGAATTAGCGCCCACCTCGAATAAGCGCCCATCCTAAAGGGAGAAAAAGTTAAATAGCGCCCAGCCCTTCCTCTTCCCAATCAAACTCAAATAAGCGCTCACCCCCACCCCACCCACGTGAGTGAATAAATTCTAATAAGAGACTTCTCCGAGGACGGAGTTTTCTTCAGAGTATTTTGCAAAAATCTTGCTTTGTTACTTCTTCGCGTTTTGTTATTAGCATTTATTGTTTTGTTGCAAAATATACATACTTCGCTCGCTGAAAATGGTGAAAATATAATAGGCGCCCAGCCTCGAATTAGCGCCCACCTCGAATAAGTGCCCACTCTCAAGGTCCAAAAATTTAATAAGCGCCCAGGGCGGTTAACCGAATGAATACTGTAAATCACTATTCGTAATTGGTTTTCTTAATAATTATCCACTGGATAGCGCTATCCAACTTTAGAACAACTAGGGCCAAGAGAAAAACAATCCTTGAAAATCGCTGTTGTTCAAACTGCTTGAAGATGACCCAACATTTTCAAGAACAAAGCCAAAGTCAAAGCGATTGTGCTTGAACATCTAAGCCATTTAAAAATCGTTTTAACTCGCTTTCAAAGTCGTTTAGTTAAATACCGTGTTTTACCTCTCACGTCGCGTGTGTTCTCGCGGGAGGTGATATATATATGCCTCGCGAGAAGGATGAAACTCCGAGTAGCGATAAATGTTCAAGAGTTAATCCAGTTCCATCAGTCTACTTGTACGATATATGTTACTTCCCTTGCTCTGCTTACACATGTAGGTTAAGAGACCCTTTATAGACTAATTGATGATAAAATTATTGTAATCCCGTTCTCAGATAACCGAGTCTGTTCCACATCCAGTACCCGACGTAGCACTGCCTTCGTCACCCACCTCTAGTGTTTCATCCTCAGGGATCCCCCCTGAGTATTTTCAAATGAACCAATCACTGGAAGTCTTAGATGATGACAGTTCCAGTGGAAGCGGCTGACAGCGCAGTTGGTTAATCCACTCTTTCACTGGATTTAACTTCAATGACTCGAGAGGGCAGAATATTTCCGAGTGTTATTATCCAATAATGAAGCAATACGTGTTCCCGAAGAGCCTACTATTGGATACGAGATTTAAGTACCGGGAAGTTATTATCCAATCACGAAAAAATGTCGCGTGTGCTCAAACAGGTTAAGAGGATCATTTTTCACTAACGGAAGAACCTAGAAGTACCAGAAGTGTTAACCATCAGGAGAATAATATGAAATCACTCTATCGTATAATTATAAAAAACTGAACGAGTTTATAAAGACCTTTATCGTGTACTCTTGGTTACCGGCAGGGGCCCACGGACCGGAAGCGAGCAACTTCAATGTTTTCTTGTCAAGGAGTTTTCACCGACCAGTTTAATTTTAGATTTTGCGCGAATTTAAGCCCCAAACATTTTGGCTCCTTCTAAGTCTACAGACGTGGAAATTGTATTTTTACCTTTTAATGACGTTTAGTTTTCCTTTTTGGTGTCTTGTACTTCGAGTGAGCTAACAGAAGAAGCGGTTGTGGGAAAAATGTAAAATGTTTCTTAAAATAAACTAGTCATAGTAATGAGACGTAGTCCTAGTACGGGAGTTTCTTACTCTGGGTTATGCGCTCCTTGTACCGGAAGCGTAGCTGGCGGGATACGCGCGCGGGGTTACTTTCTTGGCGGCGGAACCGCCACGCGCGAAGCCGCGCGGGTCCCACCCTAATCGCGCCAGCTACGCAGGCTACCTCGAACGTTATCAGCTAAGAAGGAAACAGTCCGGAAACCAGAAGATCTGATATCTCCGACAATAGTATAGTAGGTCACCCCACCTTTCGACAGAACAAAACAACAGGACTCACTGAACATAATTATTTGGAGTTGTCATTTTGACTATATGGTGCTGATGTTACTTGGCAACAGCGCTTTTTACGTTTTGAATACCGCGGGATCAATTTATACTCGGGCCAAATCATTTCCATTGTTTTTATCTGTTTTTTTTGGCTGTTTTTAACATAGAACCTTAAATTTCGATTTATTTATGCGACCTTGCTTAAGCTTAAGCTTGAAATATTTCTGTTAGAGATCTATCAAAAGTTGCTTATTTGTGTCATATTTTGTCCAAATGCTTTTAAAATATATACACAAAAATTAAAAATAATTAAAAGGAAATTTTCAGACAAATGAGGAGTATAGTTTGGAGAAATAGCAGGTTTTGACATGACATTACGGCGGCCATGTTTTTCCAAGCAAATCCCGTGGGAGACTCATTATCTAAACGCTCTCTTTAACTTGCCTGGCTGCGGTTTGAGTAAAAACGATCTATAAGACTCCAGAGACAACCCATTAAATGTTGATGATGTTGAGAAAAGGGGTGTCGCTCAATTTCCTATAATGAGAGCTAGAGTAATAAAATTGTGAGGTCGGGACCAAGGAAAAGTATTCGCAAATCCGTAATAGCCACTTATGTCCAACAAGGGAAGAAAATTTGGAACTAAGGTACTTCCTATTAGACACGATAATTATTTCTATTTTCCATATGACTTAATGAGCGCTTATCACGTGTACGGAAATTTCGGTGAAAATTTTCCGTCAAATGGTACTGGTATCTTTTTTTGGCGCCCAGGGACGGGATTCAGAGTTGTACCATTTACAAAATACCAGTAAATTTTTCACTTTCTCTCGACATGAGGCCTGGCACTGGTAATCCAAACAAATGGTACAGAAAATTTCGGTCTTCTTCTTCGGTCAGAAAATTCTCGGTAAGAATTGGAAAAAGGTAATACCTCGAAAGGTATTCCTTTTTTCCGGAAAATTTTCCTCCGGGACGAATCGTTTCATTTGAATTCTCCCCGGAATTTCCGGGTTTTCTATACAAATGGTAAGCGCTCAATGTAGATAGAATTGCTTGCCTTCAGGTGAGGATTAGGGCTAGGGGACACTTTGTGATGTCTAACGTAAGGATTATTAGCGGAGCTCCGCGTGCGCGAGCGTAGCCCCATACCTAACAAAATGTGGTAATCTACCGATCCGAGAAATTTTGGTTATCACGTGACCGTACGCCCATCCGCCCCCCCCGTCCGTACGAACCACAGGCATACCAATGTAAAATAATTCAATCAACAGGTATGGCAACCCAAATGCAACTCGAGGTTATAGCATAGTTACCCGCGTCTTGTGAAGCAGGGATCGGACAACTTAAGTCAATAAAGACGAAAACGGAAAGCAGAAATTTTTTCTGTATCCGTTTTGCCTAAAGTATTAAGCTTAGATGATTAATTGTCATGTCTACAAATTTGGAATACAGAAAAAGAGAAAGACAGAGCCGGAAAAGGGAAGGTAGGCGACAGGCCACCGAAGCTCAACGAGAAAAGGAGCGACGGAGAGCTAGAGCTAGAAAGCGACGGACAGCTACAGCTAGAGATAAAAACAAAGGAGGCACTTTTTGTTGGAAGAACAACATGAAAATTTTGTAGCGGCGGGGAGAAAATGAGAAAAGCTAGCGGCCACCAAGGTGAAAATGAGCGGCAGTGAAAAAAAAAAAAGTGAACAAGAACACGTACGACATTTCCTCCATAAAACGTGTGACTAGAAAGTTTCTAGGAAGTTTCACAATGAAGTCGTGCAAAGCAACGGCAAAGAAATTTACAAAATAAGTGTGCTGCACGTGCAAAGTTGCTGTTTTGCTAATTAGACATATTGTTGTTTTTTCACCGTTCTCGTTGCCTTCGGCTCTTTAACATTACACGATTATACATGTTGTTTGAGCAAACTATAAATATTATCGAGAGCTTGCCTTTTAGCACTGGCTAAATCTATGTATTTGGACATATCCGTAATAGTGGGGGTTCGTTTTATAGAGGTTTGCTCGGTATTTCTCGGCTGCTGTCCCTATTGGCGGGTTGTTCGTAACAGCCAGGCGACCTCAACCTTAAAGTTCGCGCTGGGAATGTAAAACAGTCTGGAATTCCGGATTCAAGGTACTGGATTCTGAATTCTTAGTCAGTGGAATTTGGACTCTGGATTCCAATCGTCAGTGGATTCTTGGTTCCTTGAGCTGTATCCCGGATTCCAAAGCCCAGGGTACCGGCTTCCACAGCAAAAAAAATTGCCGGATTCCGGAGTCCACAAGCAAATATTTCCCGCATTCCGAAATCCGGCCGAATTCCCTTACACGGAGCGAGAGAGTTGACTGTAGAACGTCAATTTGTGGTACTGTTGGATATTGCATTCCGTCCCTTGTAAGTTGCCGTATTTATTCGATTAGCCGCCCTGGGCGCTTGTTAAATTTTTGGACCTTTAGAGTGGGCGCTTATTCGAGATGGGCGCTTCTTCGAGGCTGGGCGCTTCTTCGAGGCTGTGCGCTTATTAAATTCTCACCATTTTCAGCAAGTGTACTAGAATGTTTATTTTGCAACAAAACAATAAATGGTAATAACAAAACGCGAAGATGTAACAAAGCAAGGTCTCTATAAACTACTCTGAAGAAAACTCCGTCTTCAGGGAAGTCTCTTATTAGTACTTATTCAATTTCAATTTCAATCTCATTGTCACTCAAGTGGGTGGGGTGGGGTGGGCGCTTATTCGAGACTGGGTACTTATTAACTTTTTCTGCCTTTAGATTGGGTGCTTATTCGAGGTAGACACTAATTCGAGGTTGGGCGCTTATTCGAATAAATACGGATTCCTTGTCAATGGGACTTGGATTCTCGATTCCATTCTTAAGTGGGATTTAGAGTTCATTGGGTTGAATTCCCAGGATTCTTGATTTCATGGGGCGATGTTTGTTTTTGATATATGACTTCTCAAACCGTCCGCAATACTGAATTCATGAAGAGTAAACGAGGGAAATCATTACCGTGTCTGTGGTTTGGATATTGGATCTTATTTACCATAAAATGTAACGCATTTTAGTAAAATCCAACTAGTGGTCTATTATCAATGCTGCTTTCTGATTGGTTGAGCTGCCGGCTAGGCTATATGTTATAGCCCACTAGTAGCGAAAAGCGCGGGCTTTTTGGCGGCAAAAAAGGATTAAAGTCTAGCTTTAACTAGCTAAAGTTTTTTTATTCTCGATATTTTTGACCAACTAAAACAATTATTCCTCTCGCCCTTATGGCTTCTGAGTCAATAGCCCATTCGGCCTTCGGCCTCATGGGCTATTCACTCAGAGCCCATTCGGGCTCGAGGAATAATTGTTAATTAGGTTTTAGTATCAACTCAAGAATTATTGTTCATTTGAGAAGCTGTATCGCAGGGGGCTGTCCTGTCCGATTGTAACAAATGAATAAAGATTTAACTTACTTTATCGTCATATTACTTGGACGTGTTTCCTTTTTATCGGCCATTTTGAATTTTGCAGTCAGCTAGAGCGAGATCTGGGACCGAGAAAATTAGGCGGACTGGGACAGTCGGATATTCCGAAAATCCTCGGAACATCCGATTTCTTGCCGAAATAAAACATTCCACTCAGTGATACATCTGATATCTAGACACCTCGAAGTGGATGTTGCCAAAATGGGGAACAGGAAAATAACACCCGGGCACAGGGAACAGGGAAATGAAAAATGGCAACAAATCCTAATTTAGCCCGTAGCTCTTCTAATTCTCATTCATCCCATCCCATTTCCTGTTTTGTTCCCATTTTTCATTTTCTCGTTCCCCGTGCTCGTTCCCTGTTGCCTGTTTTAATCATTAACTTCTCATCGACGTCGGATTTTTTAAAACTTGGTCGAGCCATTTTGTTCTTAATCTGCTCTTCGGTGTCTGGATATCATGAATCACTTTGTGCAGAATTAGTGCTGGAAAAAATAGTCAATGCTAGGCGACTACAGTCAACTCTGTCTTAGCGGACCCCTTTATAAGACGGACACTACTACGGATACAAAAATCCTCGTTAGATAGACTGACCTAGTATCCTATGAATTAGTAAAGAGAATTTGAAAAAAGATCAAAGCGTTTTCCCTTGCGTGATCATTTATCAATTGTCATAATCTTTCTCTTGATGATGTTAGATGAAAATCTTTGGAGAAGGACTCTCTCTTTACGAGTTTTTTAAAAGTCATTTGCTTTAACTTCAAAACACTTATTGTATCAAAACCCAGTTTTATGTTAAGTCTTTTTAAAAGCCTCTTGCTTGAAACGCAAACTACTACTAAACAACAGTTCGATCCTCCAGCAGCGATGAATGCTTCTGATTAGTTTCCGTGATCGAAGAACGAGAGAATGTTAACAGTGACCACAGCTGGGTTTCTTTCTTTTTCGATAACTACTTTGTTTAATGGGGGAAATGATGTTGATTTGAGAAGGAAAGAAATTAAGGTAGAAAAGTTAGCTAGTTCACTAATGAGCCCAGAGGCAATTTGTTTTAGTGGTAGATTATCTGTTAATTGTCTACTTATTATTCTCCACATCTCTTAATTATAAACAATCCTTAACCCTAAATCCAACATTTTTCAATTATCCTTAACTTAACTTTAAACATCCCCCCAACTTTTATTCATATAAACAAAAGTTCAAAAAATCATCTAAACCTTTATAATTAGATACATTTATTGAACCGATTAATGGCAACGACCTTACTTATGGGGAGCCAATTTTTCTTAGAAGGAAATCTTGGCTAGATTTGAAATAACACGACAGCGGAAAAAAAAACAGCGAAAAACAAAGCTTTTGACTAGAATCCCCCTCTAAGAGGAAACATTTATACAAACCCGCGAAAAATGGTGATAATAACGTCTGATGAAACAGACACCACACAACAAACACAAAACATTTAAACGCACTACAAAATAGAATCATTGATTTATTCTTTTTGTGCAACTTTCTCTTAAAAATACGATGCACGCAAGTTCCTTTCGATCTAAACTGTTTGCTTCTCTAAAGAGGTTCGTTCGAGCTTGTCCAGTTCAGTGTCAATACTTGATTCCAACCGTCTTAAACCTCCGACAATGCCACTCGCCAACATTTCTTCGCCTTCTCCCAGGTCAGTGAATAACTTCCATCTACTTTCCTATCCATGGCCTAAAACCTTTGATTACACGAAACTTCCCAGGCAAACTTCATGCAGTGAAACTGTTTCCAAAATCATGCTTTACGATTGACTTAACTCAAATGAAATGATACATTAAAGGGGCTGTGTCATGGCGGTACAGTTCATTTTGTTTAATTTTGCCAATTACTCGCCCTCAATCGCCATGGAACTTAAACTAAGCAAAGAAACTACATGTAAATGACAAAATCAGAGATCCGAGAAAAACAAATCTGTCTCCTGAGCATTATTTTTGAAGTTGCAAGCAGCAGGGATCAATTTTGAAAGACTGTTAGGCTGAACAGTTTTCAAAAACCCTAATTTCAATCCGTTTCAATCTTCTTCAGTTTTGCCCATCCGTGGCATCGGTTGTTTCTGTTGTGTTATTTTAACCTCCCTTTAATGTTTTAAGCGGTTATTTTTATGTTTCGCCTAATTTAACGGGCATTTTGTAATTTCCTAATTTGGCTGAATTTCATGACACAGCTCCTTTAATTAAGCTACATTTTTACAAAGTTCGAGTATGAGGGTCTCAATGGGCCCAGGGGGGGGGGGGATGTGCCGCGGGATGGGGTCACATTTTGACCACTGGACTGACTATAATGGGGTCGCATTTTCAATAGAGTTACTAGAATGGGGTCGCACATTTTCGGATTTTTGGGGGTAAGACAGTTCTTCATATTTACGATTAGCAAACGTACCAGAATGTTTGTACTGTAGATGAAAAGTAAAGTGTTCTTCATTCAATCTAAAAAATGGGTCAATTCGTAAAAATAGAAAGTGACTAAGTTGGGATAGCGAAAATTACATATTTGCCCAAAAGTGACTAAGATGGGGCTGGAGCTAAGAGGCCAGGTGCACATACCCAGCAAAAATTAACCTAAGTACTCTCCCCCGGGTTTCGATATAAACCCGTGAAAGGATGATGATGAAATTATGAATATATGAAAATCATATATGTGAACTGCGGGGTGAAGAATTATATGCAAGTAGATCATCGCAGTTACAGACGCAACTTCAAGATGCAGTCTATAACTGCAATGATCTACTTTCATATAATTTAACCGTCAGCCGTCGAATTAAAAAGGTTAAAAATGCAGATTGACATTAACCGCTGAAAAGTGTTAACACTTCTTAAATCTCACCACAGGGCGCCCACACAATCTGTTTGTGTAGCCGATTGTTATTTTATAGTAAATGTATTGGATTTACCGTTTGCTTCACCTATAGCGATATATCGCTAACTATGTATATAAATCAATGATAAATAAACGTTGAATTACCTTGCCTGTGGTATATAGTCGTCCTTTTGCCTCAAAAGCGGTTTTTCGAGCGATTTTGAATGAATTTAAGTTTGCCGTTGACTGTTCCATATAATAGAAGGACAAGGGAGGAATCCTTGTTTTGAAAGGGTTCCAGCGCCGGAGCGATTTTTCCCCCCAAAATCGCATCGCTCCGCTTTCAAACTTCGCAGCATAGAGGTCAAAAGATTCACGATTCTTCTCGTACCTTCCAATCGAAAATCCATCCAAACGGCCCGGAGCTAGCCCTCGATGAAAATCAAAATCCCACAGTATTCGAGCGACTGGAATGCGTAGCAAGATTCATACGTGCCAGCTAGAAACCGTCCCGCTGATTGCCTCTTTTTGATTGGATGTCGTTAAACAACAAACGCTTACAAGTCTTCTTCATCAGTTATTATTTAACCATTTGTTTAACGGCATCCAATAAAAAAAAGGCAGTCAGCGTGACGGTTTCTGGCTGGCACGTATGGATCTTGCTACGCATTCCAGTCGCTCGAATACTGTGGGATTTTGATTTTCTTCGAGGGCTAGCTCCGGGCCGTTTGGATGGATTTTCGATTGGAAGGTACGAGAAGAATCGTGAATCTTTTGACCTTTATGCTGCAAAGTTTGAAAGCGGAGCGATGTGATTTTGGGGGGAAAAATCGCTCCGGCGCTGGAACCCTGTCAAAACAAGGATTCCTCCCTCGTCCTTCTATTACATGGAACAGTCAACGGCGAACTCAAATTCATTCAAAATCGCTCGAGAAACCGCTTTTGAGGCAAAAGGACGACCATACACCACAGGTAAGGTAATTCAACGTTTATTTATCATTGATTTATATACATAGTTAGCGATATATCGCTATAGGTGAAGCAAACGGTAAATCCAGTACATTTACTATAAAATAACAATCGGCTACACAAACAGATTGTGTGGGCCCCTGTGCAGATCGTCACGGACTTCTGGCTCTTGAAGAATCTCTAAACCGGAAAAACCAGTTTCCATGTTCTCAAAAACACTCTAGATACTTTACACGGACCTTCACCTTGCTTATATCTCGAAATATTTCAAAATTTTATGTGTCCTACAAAAATCAACATTTAATATAAATATAAATAGACCTTAATATTTACTTAATCTCTTGGACTTTTAAAAGTTCTAACCATCAAAAGCTCTAAAATTTAACCGTCAACCGTCAAAATTGGAAATAATTAACCATTACAGGTAATCATCAAAGCTTCCACCCTACTGAGACCCTCAAGTATCGCATTATCTCATAAACGCCTAGCCCCAGAAAACGCCGGGTACCGTGAAGGGGATCCGGAGATTGCAAAAGATCCCCTCAGACATATATTTGTAAATACAGTGGAAACTCCATTCAGGGACAACTCCGGACCTAGGAAAGT